TTTTTAATGCCAAACATTAATGAACAATTTGTGATCGTATCAATGATCAAAATCAAAATACAATAATGTTTTCGTCTAACGCATGCATGAAACTAACGTATTATATGCATGAATATAAGTTGTAATTTTACTGGAACTCTGTTTAGAAGGAAAAGCTTTTATGTGTAACACAGATGAAGTATGATGTGTCACTGCATTTTTGTAATTTTACGAGGCTTTACATATCTAGGTCACGGAAAAATATACATAAATTGTAAATATGGATATAAAATGTATATACACAATATTTTATATTTAATCCTGCATATATATAACATTGATCGTTACATTAAACTTTGACGTAGATTACCTCGTATTCATTTTGCCATCACTAATCTATACGTTTCAAATTGGCACTATTAAACAATGCATTTTATTTATTGTTTAAAAGTCGTTTATTTATGTCGGTCTATTTTTGATATTTTACCGTACAGCTAAAATAAATTTTCCGATTAAAAAAACGCATCGGTAAAAATACGCGCAATAATTTCTCCTTGCGACAGTCTTTTCGCAGAAAAAAATGGAGAACACGTTCAATTTTCACAAACGTATATTTCCGCATTAGTCACACTCCATGCATTTAATTTCCATAACAATAAACATGTCCAATCATTGATTTCTCTAAATCGCGAAGTTGAAGTTGATCGCCCGTACATATTTATGAACAGCCGTGCGTGATTTAACATTACGTGCGTATGGTAGGGTTATTCATCATCGTACGAAAGTTACACGGCGCGAAACATCCATTACGACGTTGCATAATCTATTTAAATTACATAACTCATTAAATCTGTAAAGCTCACATGGCAATATATTGTCGCGCGCATCTTGCGTCGATGATGACTAACGTAGACCATGACGAATGGAGTCGTTAATTTACATATACTTACATATTTTCTAATTGTCCACTTTCTCTATGGAAAGCACAAGTTGGCTAACTAATCCGAGACATCTGTTCCATTCCTCCTTACTAGAGATATTGTTGATACATAATGTGTTATCATAAATTGTGTCAGTTTCCTACATAAATTAATTATATTTTATGTCAATGTATAAAAACGCGTCTTGGGTAAAAGAATTGCAATAAAATGTCAAAAGTGCAAAATACTAAAACATGAACTGGGACATTTTTTTTAATACTTACAAAATGTTTACATAACAAATACTTTAAAGTAATATCTTGTTGTCATTTGATAATTTTTAATTGAATTTTGAATTATAATTATTAATCTATCTGTGACATTATTAATATTGATAATAATTATTATATTCATAATATATTAATATCATGAGATTATGAGTCATCGTATCAAGGGAATGTATTCATTTACATTGAACGCGATTGTTCACGTTGCACAGTGAATGGTATTAGTTATATGACGGGAACGCACCGTCTAAACCGGCACAAAATGAATCGGTCTCGGTCACCGGATGTTAATCGAAGACTGCGATTATGGGAAAAAGTCACGTTCGATCGTGGGTAACGTAATACGACATCATTAGCACACAAGGTACCCTCTTGTTCCCCTTACCGATCGCAATCGTGACCTACCTACCAATACATTTATCTTGTCCTGACCTTTCGCAGGGAAAGGTATCTTCGATGGCTTTACAAACATGACGAGGATTAAAGCACTTGGTGTGTAGACGCGCATTGATACTCCACGCTCCCGTCGTACACCGTCATCAACACCGCGAGTATCTCCTCGAGATGGACGCAACTTGTCCCGCTATTTCTCAGATCGCGCTGATCTTTCGCTCAAATAAAATTATTCCGATTATTCCACGAGAGAATTTGCACATTAAATTATTCGCAAAATAACGCGAGCTATTTTTCTCAATTATTTTACGTAGCCTTTGCACCTTGCAGAGAAAAGTCTATAAGAGTAAATTTAACGTGATCGTAAATGCTCGTTACGGAAAGTCAGTGTGTTTATCACTAGACAGTGACGAGCACGAGTCCTTTGTCGAGAAGGACGCCCGGTATCGCCTCATCCTGAAAACATAACGCCGTGTCCGTTATTCATTTAGAAGGATGATGTAATTAACTCAACGATAATACTTACGACGTCCGAGGAATCATCAATCAATTCAAATCATCATTTTCGCGGACAAGCTTTATGATTTTTGAATTATACGAATCTTATGTTAGTTTTGAAATATCGTGAGTTTAATAGGAGACGGGACGGATATAAACCGATGTAAATTAAACAAAATTTTGAAAATAAATTTATTCTATTTTTACAATAAATGATTTAAAAAGTAATCGATAAAATCACCGTGCAAGAAACCGCAAAAAGCCGCTGAATGCATAATTTGCAAGTTAATCCTTTATTCTACGCGAGTTAGTCTTCAGACATTATAAATTTTAACAAAAGTAATTGATGCTGTAATTTTAACACATTGGAACATTCCCGTGTATATATCTTTTTTTGAAATACTATAAAGGGCGCACCTGGCTAAATAAGGATTATCATTTTTTTTAATACCCAACCTTACAAATGTTTTCTAAAGATGTTAAAGTATATGTAAGAATTACTTAATAATTTTTGTAAAAGTAGCCAAAATTAACGCAGATACGAATTGTATGTAGAAAAGGAAAATCATCGAGTATATTAAAAGAGTTAACGTAGATTATTGTAGACAATCTTTTATAGATACCTATTAGTATAGGTAAGAAAAACGGATATTAATTCAATTTCTTCATTTTTAGTTGGTAGCGGCCCTTTTCGGGCTCGTTCATGGCCAGGAATACTTCCAGGAACCGAAAAAGATCGTGAGCTACTCGCATGATCTCGGTGACACCCGCGGTCATTATTCATTCTCTTACGAGACTGAGGGCGGCATACTTCAACGAGAGAGCGGCAGCCGCAAGTATGCCGGCACCTCCGACGAGACGCAGCTCATTCAGGGCTCCGTGCAGTACAACGCGCCAGACGGTACTCCCATCGCCATGAGCTGGACCGCCGACGAGTTCGGCACCCAGGTGTCCGGCACCCACATTCCCACCCCGCCACCGATCCCGCCAGCGATTCAGCGTGCCCTTGAGTGGATCGCCAAGCAGCCTACGACTCCAGAACCGATCGAGAAGGACAATCCAACGCAGAACGCAGTCCCCCGCAGCGATAATCGTCAATTTCGATTATCTTTGAATAAACGAAACTGAATGCGTGTGCTCACGCAAAGTAGTGTTAAGTTCGTCCAAAATTGCCTGTCCTTCCTCTCGCTTCACATAGATAATTACGCTTCCAATAAAAATTTGTACTTTTATAGAAATTTTTGAGGGTTATATTGTCAGTGGAGATAGATTTTGGTGAGAATTTATCCTTCCTACAATCCCGTGTTATGTAATACAGAGGGGGTGGTTCTATCAATAACAATGACTCGTTCTTATATGCTTTCCGTAGTTTGCATGACTCATAATCAAGTGGTTAAACGCGCGCGCGCGCGCGTTTTAATGTATAAAGAGACGAAGCTCTTCTTTTTGTTATGCATATAAGCACACTTGCCTTTGCCGTTGTCATATAGAACTGAAGTGAATGATCTACATCCGAGATGTAACATTCAAGCGTATGTAAACGATGGCATAAATAAGTGAGTATACATTGAAATTACTTGATAAGTGCACTTTATTTTTTTTACACGTACCTGCCTCTTCTTAAAGTGTTAAATTTTTTTAACAGAAAACTTTGCCCATTTTGGGCTTTTCGCTTAGAATTATATTTTATTTTGTTGATAATAATAACAGAAATATTAAAAATTAAATAGTTTTAGATCCTCAAATCTCTGCAGAAAGAAGTTTTAATATTTTAAACTTTAAAGATATCTTACTTGCCGTTGCTCATCAAAGTTATCAAGACTAACAAAAATAAATGTATCATTGACATCTTTAGAAGATATTCATATGTCTTTAACAAGATATTTGGCCTATCATAGATGTCAAATGAATGATGTGCAGACAGCAATTTACAATATAGGTATCATACTTATGTAGACAGTACACCTAGTATTTCTTTGACAGCGTCTTTTCGTTTATCGTTATGTTCTCCTATATATTAGGTGCTTGAATTAATTCTCGCTGTTGATCGAGGGAGGTCAGTATTCGTGCTAACAACGTGGCCGAAAGTGGCTGCTTATGTATATGAAAGTACTATCAATAGGCTTTAATAATCAATATATAACATTTGATTTTATACTATACGTACATCGAGAGATGAGGTTGTAACAATGATCTGCAACTGTGTAGCAGATGGTACTTATGCAGTTTAATTTACATTTTATGCTAGTTTATGCTCTATAATCTGATATATTACTCATCTCTACGCGAGGGGTTCGAAGCTATATATATAAATATAAAATAGCTAAGTTATTTAGTCTGCAAGCATATCATTATTCCTAAATTATTCAACAAAAACAATAAATAGATTGCATTTATTCATTTCTTACGCGCATTATCATAATTTAGTTATGTAAATTTTGTTCTTGATCATTTAAATAATGGAACGGCTTGCATCGTGCAAATTAACTTATTGCCATCCGATCAATGGTGTTGTACTTAAAATTTTTATTTTGACGTAGCGCGAAACTTAAAATGTCAAAGGATGCAAATTAATATTCATGATAGAGACGTTAATTATTGTCACTATTCATTATCAAGGGACCGTTGTTTTGCGTCGTATTCCCATAAAGCAATGAATCATAAAAGAAGTTCTTGAAAAGAATTACAATGCACTTGCATAAAGAAATTTCCGCACTGCTCTTCACTTTTCACAACTTCGTAAGCGTCTCAGCATTTTACTAATACTCTTCTCGTTAAAAATATTGTTAATGTGATTGTTAAAAGTATCGTGATAATGTGATTAATGAACCGAGCTTCTACTCATTCATCCACTCATAAATACCAACAAGACTTGCACTGTGATGAAATTTATTTACAGCATATCATTAAGATTTTTTGTTCATATAAATATTGTATAAAAAATTTTTTTTATTATATAGGCGAATATAAATACAAAAATAATCACAACGCGAAGAGCCGCGTTTGTTGCCACTTTATATCGAGATCGAATACCCGTCAATTCTCTTTACAATCACGATTCGCGTACCAGACTTCTTCCGACCACTTCGTCTCCTTGAAATTTGCTTTTAATTCATCGATTTTATTCTTCTTCCGCTATAGAGTGTTTTTCGGAATCCTTTATAGCTTTTCGTTTTCCTCGGGGTGTTCGGCGATGTACTGAAGGGCCTTTAGAATTTGAGGTGGCACTGGAGGCGCGGTCGGCAAGTGAGCACCTTCTGGCTGAAACCCATTTTCGTTGGCTACGTACGAGATTTGGTAGGTTTGGCCAGTGGCGTCAGTAAAGCTGAAGCTGCCATGTGCCTCCAGGGCCTCGTTGTCGGTACCAGCGTTGTTAAGATGACCCTCCTCCTGGACTTGAATGCCGTTACCAGTTTCGTAGTTGTAATTGTAGGATCCGTCGGGGTTGGGTCCGTCCAAGGCTTGCTTAACGATGGGGACTGGGCTGACATTGTCAACAGGGGCGGCGATTGCCACTGCCACGAAGGCGCACATAGTGATTACCTAAAAGGACAAGGCATCATGCAGTCCTTTGAATCTGCCATTACGAGAGAATACTATAAGATTCGGACAAAAAAAAAATAAATAGGAAATAATTGGAAAATTATTTGAATCGAATATTATACATTATTCGTTCTAATAACTTTTTGTTAATCCAATTATATACTTTTTCACAAAAATACATTATACATTTTAGTTTATTTTTGCGTTATAAAGACTTAAATAAAGATTTTTCTGTAAAAAAAAGGCTTTATTGATAAATAACAGTGCATTGAAAGAGCAAAGGTGTTATCAATATTATCTATTTTCATCTTAAATAGTATATGATTTAGTATGAAAAGTACTTATTTATGCCTAAATAGTTTATAATCTCCAATATCACAATAATACATATTAATTAGTCTACATAAAACTGTCACTTCAATTGGAGGTTTTAATACCATTTTATGTTACAAGAGAAAAAAATACTTCATAAAGTAAAAATATAAAAAATAAATAGATAGGGTATATTTATTGTATTAATTATAATATTGTAATATTCATTTATAAAATTTGAATTATATTGTTTGTAAGCAATAAAAATTAAACTGTTTAATATAACAAAGATTTTTTATTACATGTATAAATTAAAAGAACTTCGTACTGATTAATCGAAATAAACATTTTAATTGATTTGGAAAAATACTTAAATTATAAAAATATTACAAATTTGAAATCACATTTATAAGTAATCCTGCGTGACGTAACGTATTTTATTCACACAAAAACTCAAACTCACCAATAGATTCATATCGAAAGAAGGATGTTTTATTTTCCACAGCTGTCACTCGGAAGCTTGTCATGCACTGACTTAACGTCTCTTGCACATCTTCTGCTTATATATTCTCCATCCGAACATTCGGGAACTTTCTGGTAATATCTTATTTTGCCCCCTTCATTTCCCGCGAGTCCTCTTGTTCGTCCCCCCACTTAAATAAGTCGTAGCATACATCCGAATTTTGCGGATGAGTCGAACATGCGCGCGCGAACACACACACTTGTGAAAGATCTGGTCTCCCAGGAAAGACTTTAAACTTGAAGTCATACGTATGCCTAAAACCGCAAAAGGTCGTCTCAATTTAGCAAAAACTTTTTAGTGAACTCGCCCGCTTAGGATAGGAATTAAATAATCCTGTTATTATATGGAAAAAAATAGCGTGCACTTCATCAGCTTCAAGCTAAAAATTATGGTTGAAATTCGCATAAATTGCCTCATAAATTGCCATTCTAAATGTACAATAATAAAGAACGATCAATACGAACAGTATCACATAAAATATCATAAAATATATAAATTTTTTTAAATGTCAAAATAAAATACAGTTTAAAATAGATTTGTCAAAAGATATTATTCTCTAAAAAGAGATAGCAATCAAGTTATGTAACTTGACTTTATATTTTATGTTAGTCGTATTTTTTAAAAACTATATATATACAATATACATGCTGAGCACAATACTGCATCTTTTAATAATTTATATCTGACTTTTTCTGACTGAGAAATAAATTGCATTCACACAAAAAATAAACACACACGCGCGCGCGCGTGTACGCATCCATTTAAAAACTTTGTATACAGTACATGTTATATATATTTTTTTTTAAATAATTAATTTCTTAACTGTTATAACTGTTATAACTACTATTTTCAATCATGACTAAAATGTAATCTGTATTTCTAGAAATGATTCAATCTAAAAAAATATGTTTCTTATTCATACATAACATATTTAAAAAAATAAATAAAATACCAAAAAACGATACCATAACTGCCATTAAAAGTAGATGATATCATAACAGAGTTTCTTCTTATCCAATAAGAACTGTCAATGATGAATAGGACTTGGAATATAAAAAAAACTGATATACATCTGTGTTAAAGGACAACTTGATCATCGAAAGATCCACGTATTTACATAACATGTTAAAAATAGAAAACAAGGGAAAAATACCGATAATAATTGACTGGCTGTGGAACAGGGTTGTTTGCAATACAGTTTTTACATTGCTTAGTAATCAAAGTTTAACATTAATAAATTTGTCATGATAGACAATAACATTTTAGCATTTTCCAGTGACTATTTCGATTATCGACATAAATCACCATAACTGTATAAAATAATAAACTGTGCAAGAAGTTGAAAGGAATACTATTCTATATCATAATGATGCAAACTTTCAATATAAAATTTTAGCCGGATACTATACTTATATCTGGTTCTACTATATATGGTTCTAATTGTAAGTAAAAGAACGTTTAAGTAAAAAATTAAATTGTCAAATCACCTGCACCGTTGCTACCGTTCGCAACAACACAAACAAGCGTTTATTCCACTGGCTATGAATTTATGACCGAGTGGTTCGCAAAATAAGTTAGTCAGCATAATGGGAAATGACATACTTATTGAATGCAAATGGCAAGTGTCTCTGTGTATTATGTGTCAAACGCATATATTTTATTTTGCACGAAATGTTAATAATCAGGTAGTACAACAAATATTTTCAACGTTTGTGTATTTAACATATTGTGTATTTTTTCCCGAAAAGTATATGTATATCTCTTATGGATATCTTCTATTAAATTTTCGGTCATTTCCAGTTACATTTGCATTATATTGTTATAACGCTGTTATATTATTACTGTTACGGATCATTATTTAATTTATTCAAAGGATTATCTAATTTTTATAATAATTAATATTTAAATAATTAATATTTGCAATATATGCAAAAAATGCGTATAAAATAATAAAATTAGTAATTTAATAACCAACAAAATTATTATATTTATATTATAATAAATTTATTATACTTAAATTATTAATAAAATTAAACTTAAGTTATATTATGTGTACGTGAAAAAAGAGGAAAAGTGAGAATATTTTTGTGATAAATTAAGCTTAATACGCGCTATGCAAATGTATGATAAAGTAAATCAACTGAAAGTACGCAATCTGAAGATGAAAAAACGATAAAAAGAATAAAAGGAAATAGGAGATAGAATAAAATAGCGACGAAATTGAGAACGTTTCTTCGTCCGTATTTAATGAATATTCAGTAATTGTTTGAGAGAAATTATTTGGGAAGAACCGGCTAAGTTATCTGTGGACACACATTAACACACTCTTCTTGGGAGATTTACAATAAGCATACCGATGGTATCGTAAACTTAATAATATTATTTAGCGATGGTAACTTTCGATTTTGAGTAACACCGCCTGCAGCTACTGCACGACCTTCGAACACGTGTGAACACGCGTGTTGCCGTGAGAAGTTATTGAACGATGTCATTATTTTCAAACGGGTACTGTAAGTACATGGTAAGGTATACACGCCTCTGTGTTTGAAAAGATAAAGGACGGCATTCTTATTTCGCGAAAAACATGTGAATATACAGTGAATGTAAAAAATGTTCAAACAAATTTTTATTAAAAGAACTTATTATTTATAAAAAATAAACATTAAATTAATTAATATTTTATTAACAAATGAATACATTCTGTTTTAGTATAAACAAAAAAAGTTTCGTGAAAATAATCGTGCTTGTGATTTTAAAAGTAAATTTTTTAATTGTATAAATATTTAATTGTATAAATAATTGTTATGTTCACAAATAATATAATTTTTTCTTTTATTAAAATTATTATTAAAATAATATGTTTTAATTATTACACGTCTTTATTGGTAAAATAATTTTTAGAAATACGTAATCCATTTTATTTTCTTTATTAAGAAATCACTAATTTTTAGCGTCTATAATTATATGTTTGATTCCTTCAACTACGATCCAGATTTTTTGTTCAGCTAAGATTTTACTTTTTTAGATTAAAAAAATGTAGAAAAATTCAGAGAGCTACTTTTCAACGTCTTTATTATATTACTAAATAATTTTGTAACTTAAACGTTAAAAACTTTATTTTTAATAAATATTGAAATTTGAGAACAAAATTTTGTTTGAAAAAAGATCCAAATTACAAATGGAAAATTATTTTTAAACTAATGGATCAATTTTAAGCAGAATCGTAAAGCTCGTAACTTGTTCTCGTAAAACTTATAAGAACTTATTGTAGTTGATATTGTAATTCTATGTATATACTATAAAACGATCATTTGTAAATATTTCGGATTTTTCGTAAATCTTATGATTAGCGAGAAACTGTCTGTAATGATATTGCATAAAACACTTTTGTGAGTTCTTATAAATTTTACGAGAACATATCATGAACATTATAATTCTGCTTAGAATTAACCGCACTTTATAAATTAATAAAATTATTAATTTATTTTTATTAATTTATCTTTAAATTAAAATTAAATGATTAATGTTATTAATTAATTATAAGATTAAATGATTAATAAGTCATTTATACAATTAATTAATTATGAATTAATACAAATTTTAAATATATATATAATAATAAAGTTTTTTTTAAATTTTTATCTCTCTTGTACGAATACTTTTTGTATTTATTATGGTATTAAAAAAAATAAAGAGAGAGCGAGGGAGGGAAGGAGGGAGAGAGAGAAAGATTTTTTACTAAACTAAAATCGGTAAAGAATTTGTATTGCAGATTCGTTTAACGCTTTTAATCGCTATTATTTAATGTGAAAATCGTTGCGTACGGTGTTGATTAATATTTATTCCGTATCCAAATCGCCGAGAGATTTAGTTGTATAAAGCCGTGATCAAACTAGAGATTGAGATTAGATTGGAATTAAGCTATTCAAAGCAAAGTTCACTAAACTTGAGATTGGTTTTCTTTCTTCTGATTGGTTAAATTCGAATCCAATCTCGAGCTCAATCTCTAGTCTGACTTTTACAGTTACGATCATGAAATTTTCATTTAATTCTGAAACATACGAAAGTTGCTAAATGGTCGAAGGTCATCATTTCAAGCCGAAGATGTTAGATTTCGCATTGTAATAGACTCTCGATAGATCCGACGTCTTTATCTTCGTCTTCTTCTCCTCACCTCCTCCTTCTTCTTCTCTTCTTCCCCTTGCGCCTCTCAATGTGTTTCGCAATGAAATTAAACGTGCGTACACATGAATTTCTAATTTTCAAATTAATTGCACGCTAGTACTCGCTTTTGCGCCCTCGTTAGTCTTCTCTTTGTCGAATTCTAAGATGAAGATACATATACTCGTTAAATTAATCCTGCACCGTATTCGTAATCATCTTAGCGGCTCTACAGATTGTGACGCAAATGAACGACGAGATGCGCAACTATATTAATATACTTCGGCATTGATTGCTCATCGCGTTTCAAGATCATCGAATAAGCAACAGCCACGTACGCTGTCCTTCGCACGGACAGATTGTTCAATGTTGAAAAGCGAGGAGAGCAAATTGAAGTTAACGGGCGAGTCACCTCTAAAGAATAATTGCAGGTGATCATAAGAATAGATAGAAGAAAGACGAACATAGAAATACGCACTTTATAAATTTATTTTACTGCAAGAAAAATGTATTAAATAAAATAATTTCTTACACATAAAACAAATTCATTATCTTACGAATACAATAATAATAGATAATGTATACACTAATGTAGAAAAATTTATAGTAAAAAAAAGTAAATAGAAATTTGTAAACTTATTCGATAAAGTATCTATAAAAATATATATAATGTCGAGTAAGATTATTCAAAATTTAATAGTATAAGTACTTTTTCATTTTTATAGCCAGAATAAGCTTTATACTGGTGTTATACATTTTATATAAAATTCAATTATTTTCAAACTTTTTACTGCGTCTAGGCAAAGAATTGGAAATAATGAAGGCATTTTATTGAACATTTGGAGAAATAGTATGTGCATAATAAAAAGAATTAAAAAAGAAACAATACCTTTAAGTTTTAACATAATTTGCTATAGATTTATTTACTTTTATATAAAATTTATATCATAAAATTTAGCATAGACTTTAAAAATAATTATAATACATTAATATGTTACAATATTCATTATAAATTAATAATGTGTTAATACTGCTCTTTACATATGAGATAATAATAATAAAATTATAAAATATGTTATATTTTTTTTAAAGAGTGCGCACTTATTGCACCGGACATATATAGGCATGCTAATAATTATCAGCGTCATCATTACTTCGAGTATTGCAGAAAAAGAGACGCGGCAAATTAACCGTGTGATTGGCCGACGCTCGGAGGTCTCGTTTCGCCTACTCTTCATAATGGAGTAAGATATACATCATTATTTTATACCGCGCGGAGAGGCCATTTCGTTAACTCCAATACTACAGCACATTTTTACTTTCACAGAGCGACAGATGAGCCAAACTTACTTGAGTTGCTTCAACGGACTGTTACGCAGTCGGATGATTAAAGAGACGCGGATGGCGGGCCCGATAACAATTTATCACCTGATACTTCATGGTAGATAGACATGTCCGGCGTGCGTGTTCAGCCTGTGCACCCACGCGCGATGAGAGGACCACGATGAAAAATGATACCTCGCGAAATTACTGATACGCACGCAAGACATAAAGCCGCGTTTTGCAGGGTGCCGCACGAGTCAGTTCGTCGCGACGCGAGAAGATCCTCCTTTATCTAAATATTTCGGCATAATAATCTTGAGAAGATCCTTTATTATCTAAATACTCCGACATCCGCGATACTCTAAAACCGTATGACGTACTACTGAAGGCGATACGATGAACGAAAAATCTTGGTGACTTGACAGAGAGAGAAAGAGGAGAGATACGCAAGCCCACACATGCAGATAATCGAACAAAAACGTAAAAAGAAAAAAAAATAGCGTAAAGTAAGAATAAGAATACAAATGAAAAGATAACAATGAAAATAAATGAAACTAAAATAAAAGAACAATAATAATAGATGTTACAAATAGAAACAAAAAATAAAGAGAGAGAAAAGAGAAACAAGGGATCTGCCTTTAAATTGAAACTGAGATAAAGTTCGATTTTCCTAACTTTAATGTGTATAATTACCCAATTCTGTTCCAATAGCTTTTGAGATCGATAAGATCTACTATAATAGATAGGAAACGTTTTGGCGCATTTATTGTTCAATAATATCTTCTTCGTCAAAATATAAATATTTTATTTTACGTGTTTAAATTGCAACTTTTAGTGTTCTACGATTTGCAAAATATGCAAACTTATTATATGTGAGTCGTGCTGTTTTTATTCGTGGCGCGATCTATGGTACCTTTCACTCACTCTTTGAGTTCTTACGATCATTAACATCCATTCAGCCTCAGAAATAATAGATACAATCATGATTACCGCTATTATATTATAATATTAGTATCGTTAATACTCGATTTCTAAAGAGAAAGGGAAGACTTGTAAATCCTATCAATAATATGATGCTGTCGATTTTAATCGTTTTTATTATGACATATGTTTATTCAAGTTATGAGGAGATCATTTGAATCACTATCCTGCTTTATCGGCAGAAATCGGCAAGAAATCCTGCAAGAAATAGATAGAGGACTCAAACTGATGTTTTTATTGCAGATTTTGTGCGCAAAACTAAAATTATGAAAAGAGAATCAAACATAATTAATACATAAATTCCTTCTCTAAGGATTCTTTCGAGTTCCAATGTTTGACATTGACATACAAAAACGGGATAGATTTGTTTTTACGTTCCTTCCAAAAATGATTTTAATAACACATTGAAATGCGTTAATATAATAATTGCGACTGACAACATCATAAAAATAATATAAAAATTTTACAAAAACACTGTAAATTTAATTGTAAAATTCTTGTATGCTTTCAAATTGCAGCAGCATATAGAAAATGTTTAGCGAAGATTTTCGACTCACGAACTCTTTAATCAATTCATAGATTCTTCTAAAAAGATGTTCGATTAATGTACATTTTTACTAACAATCCCTGAATAATAAGCGATCAAAAACTCTGAAATCGTCATAAATTTAATTTCAAGGATACAAAAATACTTATATTTATGTCTCTCTTTCTCTCTCTCTCTTTCTCTCGATTTTAAATAGTTTCGGTAAAATTTCATTCCGACAAAATTTAACGATTAATCAAGACAATTTAATGTTAAAATGTTGCAAAAAAATATAATATTTATTTAATTTTAAGATAAAGTTTCTCGAATATTCAATAAACAAATATATAAGAAATATACATACATATATATATATATATATAATATATTGTTTAATATATCATATATACATATTTTTATAATTTATGTTTCTTGCAAATGTTTAATGTTCTTTCAACAATGCTTGTAATATCATAGGTAACATTACTGTATCCTAGAATACATCATTGGATAGCAGGCAGTGATCTCTATTATAATAAAATTCGATTCTCCCGATTGTTTTGTTTACGTTTGTGTGCAATCAGTTTTATCAAAAACTTTCGTTTTTACGTGTATAAAAAATCTACTTTTATATTTCAAGAGAGGGGATAACTACTATCTCTGAAAGGATATGTTCGTGCTGACACGAGTCCTTCGACTTATGACCTCTTTTTCTCCTTGAGAAATCAACAACGCATTACAGTCATAGATACAATATTAGAGATTCGCAGATCCGAAAAAAGACTACACTGACGAAACAAATCGCACGCATTCCATTTCTCTGCAATTATAAGTAATTCCTTTTATGCATACATAAATTATATTTGATATATTTACTTTTACATCATACAAACTAGGTATTTATTATAAAATTATTTTATGATAAAATATTTAAACTATTTAATTACAAAGCGTTTCTCATAAAATAAAAATATTTTATTTTGACAGATAAAATGCATGATTATAAACAGAATTTTTATTTAAATTAGAATATCTTTTTTTCATTATATTTATTATTAATAAAACAGCAATAATAAATATCGACAGAAAATAATAAATATTTTTTTTGTTGTGAAGTAATGAGATTTTTTTAACATCTTATTGTTTGAACAATTATTTTATATAATTGTTCAATAAATAATAATTTAGTTAAAATATATACTATCGTTCACACATAATTTTTATTTTCGAGAAAATAATCAAGAAACAGTAGCGCAATTATCCTGTCGCACGATCATGATAAATGATAACTGAACTTGCGTATTCGGCTTACGTTGCGCCCGTCAAGGATTCACGGATTTGTTACACGTTGGCTGAATTTACAACGGTGAACAAAAATTCGCACAACGACATTACTGAGTCAATGGAATGTGGCGAAAACTCACGTCGTATTAAGTGGTCCAGCGCTTCTCCGTCGAAAGAAAAATTTATGATCGACTTAGCGAAGGGAAATTTTATCTTTCTCCCGGGGCGCCCACACGAAGGATAATCCTTTGTTACTGGCGTGTTTGCGTTACAAGATTTACCTTGTCGTCTTTTAATATTTTACAGCGTGATGAAGTTACTCTTCAAACGCGCACAAGTGTCGGATCTTGAACTTTGTTGTAAATTTTCTGTACTAGCAATAAAGCAATTAATCTAGCCGTTTAAAATAATTTCTAATTAATTTTCTAAAATAGGCTACTTAGCTTATCTACAAACACGTAGCTATTTTAGTTAAACTGATCTCGGGTTTTGACAGCCTCAGGTAAGCGCATGCCATACATGTTTACTTTGTGATCCCCGAAGAGGCAGACTTGTTAAGGATATACGAATTTACTTTCGCAAATTCAAAGTACATATTAAGAATTTTTATTAGTTATATCCATTATTAATCATATTTTCATACTTAAATGCTAGAATTTTTCTATATTTTAATTTATTCATTTTATGTATGAATTATTTATTTCATTTAATAAAATTTTCTATGTAAACAAAATTATTATTTTTATTTATAAATAATTATAAACTCTAAAACATGTTTTAAACATAAAATAAAATAATAATTTTCAAATATTAGCAAATAAAAAAATCTATATTTTTAAGATATGTATTTCTTACATGAGCGTTTATGAGTTATGTAATTGTTACAGCATACAAAAAAATATCATTCTACTTCTAAAAAAAATGATTACTTAATTTTTTTTCTTCTAATAATTATGTTTGACAAAGGTAATTTTTTTATAATAGTTTTAAAATATACTTATTACAAATTTAAAAAAAACTCATTGTTTAGAACTCAAAACAAGAATTTATTCTTTTGAGAACATTATAAAATTCTCTCTCTCTCTCTCTCTCTCTCTCTCGCTCTCTCTCTATATTGAAGAAGCTACTTTATATAAGCAAATTTGTTTTAATTTAATAATCTTAATTGAAGTACGTATTAAATTCTCTGGTAGTAGAATTTACAAAAACTATTTTAAATAAATTTGATACTTATTATGTACTTTTCTGCTTAAACAAATTTTCTTGTTCAATCAGTCATTATGGAAGTTTAGATAGAAAAATAGTTTGAAAATTGGAGAAGAAAGAATTTTTTAGTGTAGTCTCCAATGTGATTTTCAAATTTTATTCGACTTTTATGTAAAATTCGATGGACATTTGATAAGCACGAATATCATTTGAGAGGCACTATATTGCCATTTTTGTGATCATCTTACCTCACGCCACATTATCAGTTTCATCGAAAAATGATGTAACATGGATATTTGTCAACATACCAACCAGAAATTTATCAATAGAGGGAGATTTTCGTATCTAGCAGGTTTCTCGGCAATACTATATAAAAGGCGCCTCCTCAATTTCGATTTTATAACGAATCACAGTCGTGATCAGCATCATGCAGACTCTGGTAAGTTTTAGGAAAATTAATAAAGAATTAATTTACGCTGTTCACTTTTTGTTTTTTATTGTATAACATTTTTCAAAAATACCAAATGTTGTTCGCATAGACAAATCTGTTTTAAATTAGCTACTTGAAAATTATAAATGTCGATATTGGTTATATAATAACGCGAGCGTAATAAAATCTCAAATCAGTCATATTTTAATTAAGAAATATTATGTAATCGATACTTTACTTAAAATTCTATATTTCTCCGAGATATTTTTTCTCATTTTAAATCGCAATTAGAAAAGAGAAATAAATTTTTTTTTCAGACCGCCACACTTCTCTGCGTGCTCGTAGTAGCTGCATTCGCTGCACCCCCGAATTTTAGCCATAATTTCAATACAAATACTTTCATCCCCATCGTAGCTTCGCAGCTGGATGGACCAAATCCTGATGGTTCATACAGCTACAGCTATCAGACTGGAAATGGCATTCAGGCGCAGGAGCAGGGTCAGCTTTTCCAGATCGCCAAAGACGAGGACGCTATTCGCGTTCAGGGATCTTTCAGCTATTCTGATGCCAGCGGCAATCCTGTCAGTCTGAGCTACAGCGCTGATGAAAATGGTTTCCATCCTCAGGGCGAGCATCTGCCAGTCGCGCCTCCAATCCCCGATGCTATTCTGAAAGCGTTGGAGTACAATGCTCAGCATCCCGAGGAAGACAACTTATAGAAGCATTATATTAACATACAGACCATTTAGACTGAAATTTTACCAGTGATCCTTCGATCTTATAATCGTTAGTGTTGCGTGAAAAATTATATGTATCTCTTATACTGCCAATATAAGAATACGCGAAATGTGAAGTGTAATACATTTATTTACATAAGTAGTTCGAATCAAGAGAGAGACAAATTGTCAAATTATAGAATGATACTTTTCTCTTATTTATTTTACAATGCTATATAGTCTCATCAGTCGTGTTCCAATTATATAGTAGATATATTAACAATATCAAATATTAATTTAATATCATATGTTATGTATGTAATTGCAATGAGTTAAAGATTTGGAAATTAATTTTCATTGAAAATTGAACGTATCAAAATTATGTGTATCACGATCTTTGAGCTTCAAACATTTAGCTAGATTTATAATTCTAGTACATTCAAATTATTTAGCACATTTCCTTTACCGATAACATTGTCCCAGGATTGAATTAGTGCAGTCAATTAGCATCTACTGTATTAATTAAGGAGCATGTAACGCACATACTATATATATACAAAACCATAACCGCAACGTTTATATTAAACGTTACTTCTGTTAATCGTCAAAATAAACATGTTTGAATGTTGACTGTCTCTCTCTCTCTCTCTCTCTCGCATACTTTTTTCCCTCTACTAAATTTATCATATCACTATTCCGCTCATTAAAACGTATCAGATCGCTTGTAATTTGAATACGTCGATGATCGCGATTGAGTCCGACTGGCTAGTTGGCAATTATGTGAATAAACACGAAGTGATATTTAATGGTAAACCGAGTAGATGACGCAATAATGTGATCGTCGAATGTGATGAAATAGCGAGAGATATTAGCAAAATTAGCAATGTTGTCGAATATACATATAGACTTTAGCTCGCGAAATTTCGTATCATGGTATTTTTGGATATATAATTATGTATTTCTTACAAGCTTCTAATATAAACCAATCCAGTATTAATTATGAATTAAAAAGGTCATATACACTTGCACTAATTTTTATATTAAAATTGTTTCACTGTATTAACAGCTCCTTTTAATTTACATATTAATCGATTCAATCACAATATTGTTTTCTATATATATATATATATATGTGTATATATATATTTATTTAATATGATCTCTTTCTCTCTCTCTTTCTATCTATCTACCTATCTAAGCGTTGCAATTTTTATTAAATCCAATATTGAAAACAGGTGATGTCTGATTCAAAATATGAAATGCTTATTTCTGAATACTAATTAAAAAATATAAGATATTTTAAATATTTACATGGCTGTAGGATTTAATTATCTAACTAAAAAAATTTATTAATTATCTATGTAATTACCTATATAAACAACAAGTACACTGTCAATGAGGAAAAAAAATTAAAAAATGTATTTGTGGGATATGATATTTATTTTACTGAAATAAATCTTTATTTAAATATAGTAAAATAAAATTTTATTCTTATTACAAAAATAAACCTCTATTCTATTTTTTTTTACACTGAATAAAGTATATTTACAAAAATTTATATTTTGTTATTACAATCAAATTTTTTTATAACCAATAAATATCAAGAAAATGCAGCCTTGCAATCATATTAAAATTCTTTAATATGATTAGTTTTGCCTTTAGTTCCTTGCTGAACTTAAAACCAATTATCTTAAAAAATTTTACAACAGTTGCAAACAGCTGCTTTCTTTGTTAAAAGCAATTATTTGCTTACGAATGTCTCGACTTTTTTCAATGTAGATCGTATTAAATTGTAGACACATTAGACGCAGTTTCACATTATATCTCTTATATTGTTCAGAACAACTGATTGAATTCTACGAAGAAAAACTGCATAAAATTTTGTCAAAATTTACGCGTCGTATTCTCATAGAATCACCGCGTGAGTTACAATTCTTTGTCCAGGAATATCCCCCAAAGGTGGATTTTCGCAATTCCAACTGAGAAATAGCGCTGGGTGAGCAATCTCTCCCGGCGGGAACGGAACGCGCGTGCTAATCCAAAACGAGCGACACGATCCTCGCGTGGCACGTATCCTCGCGGATACACAAAAGCGTGCGATTTAAATAAGATAAATGCTCGCGTCTTACGGCGGGACGTGCTGCGGGTATAAAAACGAGAATTACGACATCGCATTAGCCGGTGTCCGACGTCCGTTACGTACAGGACTACGCTCGCTATTCGTGGACAATACACGGCGTGTCGAAAAAGAAGAAACGTCTATGGGGATTAAAGAACTAATACTTACGTCAGACAAAACTGCGTATGCTGACGATCCTTCACGCGAATCCTTTTACGCACATGTGCATTAATAGAGATGTAAAATACGAAACGTGCTAACCAAACGAGAGTCGCTCGATTACGAGCTGCTCAGGAGGAGGCGATCCTTGAAATTAATTTATTCCTAAGGTATTTTCCATATTCACACACACAAACACTCACACACATACATACACCACGTGAATACCTGTGGTCAGAACGATTAAATCACTGGTTTGTTGCTGATGCTGCGCTTCTAAGGAATATCGTGGATAATAGTACGAAATTGCGCGGCGAGGAAACGCTCTTGTATTTCTCTTTGTCTCTCGTATGTTAAATTGAAAATATTTTTCGTAGCACGACAAGCCTCTTCAACCTCGGAGTGGCATATCTTATCTTCCGTAAATCACTCTACTCCAGAAGTGTGTTTTAGAAGACGGTAGAAAGAAGATGATATTTCCTTCAATCTAGTTCTTATATTATATATTCAATTTTTTTAATTTTCATTTATCTACATCACATTATACTGCTCATTAATTAATAATTTTTAAGCAGTAATCGAAAACGCCTATGATCATACCTTAAATATTGCACTGAAAGAACGATTTTACTAAAATATTACTAAAAATTTAATTAGATACAGACCTGAAAATAATTTTGATTGGTCAAAATAATTATATATTATAGATCGCACCTTTGATTGCTAAGTTAAAACATTTTGTCAGCAACATTTAAACATTCTACATAATATGTATATTGATAGTCCAACAAAATTATTTCTAGATCTGTATTTTAGTTAAATTTTTAGATAATTCAACAAAACCGTTTTTTCCGTGTATGTTTTATATAAAAATAGAACTGAAACTTACGACGGGTGATTAATATTTATTAGTCTCATAGAACATCATTATAATAATCATTCGTCGTTTTGAATCTCGTTAAATTCCTATTAATTCTTGCCTCATATCCCTTACCTTGTATATACCAGTCAATCGAAGTCCCCTACATCTCTACAAGCCCTGTACCTCGTAGTATCCGCGCTGGAATCTGCATACGAGTCTCGCAATCAGCGGATGCAACGATTGGATGCACCTCGAAATATCTAATCGCCGGCTCGATCACCGTAGATCTCTCATGTTCTGCCATCACGTAGATCACAGCCCCGAATTACTGAGATTGACAGTTCTAGATACGCTGACACGAGCGATGCTTTGGACACCTTGTAGTTGTTTGAAAAATTCCGTCGTGATTAACCACCATGGGTGGTCCCCGACACGAGGTAATTGCTTCACGGAAACGAGTAAGGCATTTTATTATGAAACAGTCTCAGTCTAGAATAACAAGAGAATTAAATCTTAAATATTATTTACAAATTTTAAATTTTGACGCTGGATTTAATCTTTTTCCTCCATGTTAAACACAGTGACGAATAATAGAACAAGATAACAATCATTCTCTAATAATTGTTGCTCGTGCAGAGATGTCGTTATTTCAAGTACATCGTATATTGTATTTTTTCGTAAGGTCCGTCCTTTAGTCGTCGAGCATCATCAATTAAATGTGCGAAACCACCTCGCGCAAAATATCTCTACATGGATCTGAGGTCCGCCTCCGTGGGCGGTGAATATAATAGCTGGTTGCACGCTCGAAGGATCTGATCTGATCCCGATCTTACACCGTGGGTTCCTCTTCTTTCGTTGCAACTGACGCGACCTGGAGATCGAATCGTTGCACGGACGGAATGGTTTCAAAGGTTCTACCGGGATTTTCGAGTTAATTTTCTGCAAACAAATTAATGGACTCTCGGAGTAACAGACTTCGAGATTAGGGAAGCGTTGTAAAGAACATGGCAATTTTCTTTGCAATTGAATCCTTTTCATTTATTACGGATGATAAACAGAGATTAAGTCTTCTAATAATTTTTTATTTATAATTTTTATTTATTATTTCGCTAGTAGTCATGTAAGAAATAATTTTTAATCTCCGAAAAGTTGGCTTACTTTGTTTAATTAATTATATTGTTATATTTTACATTGTTAAATGTCGAAGTCGCAATGATCACTCAATCCATTGAATAAATAACAATTTATTATTTTTAACTTATATACATATTTGAATCATGTAAATAAATTCATTTCTATGGTTGGAATTACTTAATTAGTTCCGAAGTAAACAACGTCTATATTAATGCATGCACTTAATAAATAATAAACTAAAAAGCCAAATACATCACACACTTGAGTTAAATTAGTTACCTCTGTATATTCTTTTAGTTGAATTAACAACATATTGAATAAGAGCAGTGGTGACCTATATAAATGAATAAAAATAACTCAAATTGAATGTAATTTAACATTACAATTATAACAGTGTACGTTTGTTTAACAAACAAGAGTAGCTTCGATACTCATTAAAAACATCGCTAAGTCAAACAACGCGGTTATGCAACTGTAACTAGACCACCGGGTCATCCGATTACTCTATCGGTTCCTCCCAGGTATGCAGGTCACTTCATTGCACGCGCCCTCACTGAGGAGAAAGTTTTCCTCGTCACGATGTCGGCCCGCCAACTTCTTAGATACCAGTTATAGATTTTTCGACGATCCGATTGATTCCCATATCAGTCAACGTGATCGCGAAGTCACGATCGCGCGCTTAAGAAATGAAAAATAATATAAGCGAAGTAAAGGCGCCAATATACCGTGTTGCTAATTACTGAACTTTC